TTATCTCAATCAATATTTTTACTACTAAACTGATTATTCTTTAATGAAGGATCAGAAGGATCAGAAGGATGTTCTTACTCTCGCTATGATCAGCCTTCTAACGAATTGCAGGGTGGATGCTCACCTGGGTTAGCTATGCTAACAAGGGGCTAGTATCCATAAAAAATAAAGTGCTTTCAGACTGCGTAGTCTCAAAAATTCGATCATATTTTTTAGTATATTAATGACTAAACCAAAAAATATGCCAAATGTACATACTTTAAGAGATATTGAGAATAAAGAGGTGGTTAAGTGTTCACTAAGTAAACACACTCCTTCAGGTCATCAGCTTGGTAGCATCCGTGAATTAGAACTTGAGAAAGCATTACGCGGTAGTATTGAAACTGCTTCTGATATTGTTAATGATTATAAAGATCTGCAGGATATACATTTAAAGTGAGTGAAGGATTTTAATCGTATCTATTCTGGCCTTAACAATAAGTTTAATCGGCTGAATACAGCTAATACTGAGTTTGAAGCCAAATATACTACCAAAATCCAATCACTCAAATCAAAGATTAAAATACTGAAAAGAGAGGGAACTTTGGCTCAGAAAGTTTCATCCACTGACAAGATCAAGATTCTTTCTTTTGAAGTTAAAGTACGTGAATTGGAAGGTAAGTTAGAGGATTTGAAACCAGATTCAATATTCCATAATTCGAATGCAGTGGGAGGAATGATAGATGAGTCAGCCCAAATAAGCTCAACTGAAACGGATAATTCCAAAGAGATCGATTCTCTTAGGCTTGAATTAGAACGAGTGAAGGGGGACCTTAATTCAAAAGAATATATAATAGAATGTATGGAAAAGGGGATAGAAGCGACATATGAGATAACCAGTCAGAAAGTGGATGCTTTGTCTTCAGGACGAATAAAATTAATAGAGAAAAATAGGTCTCTCAGGGACCGGTTAGAATTGAAAAAAAATAATAAAGTAGATCCTTAATCCCTGCCCATAATTAATTCAACGCGAAAGCTACCAGGCTGGCTCAGTGATGATTTAAGACCTCTCGTCTATAAGATCGACTTTGAAGACAAGGTCATGGAATTAGATAAAAGTTATGCCAGGAAGCATATATTAGAAGCTTTGCAAGAGCTATTACCTTGGGATGAGATAGTTTCGAGAAGCCAGACAGATCCCCTACTCAATCAATCTATTCATAGTCGACCAGCACATTTCGAAAAGTCTATTTCAAGAGAAAAGGTTGCAGAGCAGTCAGGTGATGCAGAAGCAGTACCATTGTCTTGAGAAATACTTCTAGTGCCAGTGACTGTTTCTGCTGTTATGAGTTCTCTAATATCGCCGATGGTATTATATTCTATACTTACTTTTCTACTGATTGCGGTTATATGGTTTGTGGTCAGGAAATACTGGAATTCATCAAAAAAAAGTAACCAATATTCTGCCTACAAAAAAAATCTTCTGAATTATACAATATTCTTAAATAAAAATCAGAGTTATAGACTCCCGATCTGATACAGAGAAGAATTAAAAGACAGGACTACCTCCTATGAAACTTTACCTTATAGATATGGATGAGGTTACAAAGCATGAATCATCCCGAATCCAGTCACATCCTGCAAGTCCATCATGGCTTTTCTCAATGCTAGTTACAGGGAAAAGTGGATCAGGTAAGACTAATATCTTGGCAAATCTTTTTCTCAGTAATAAAGCCGAATGCATATATAAAGGTAAAAAAGGGTCGAGAGGTGTTTCGTATAGTTCCAGATATATTGCATGTGATGATTTAATAGTTTGTGGCTACCATCCTGACGAGCCTAAGTGGGCATTCGTCAGGTATATCTATGGCATAATTTCAAGAGATCAAAGAGCACCATATTATGAGAATATACGATTTAGCTATATATCGCCAGAAAAAATTCCTAGTGTTAGATCATTTTCGCCTGAGAGAAGCATAGCGATTGTTTTTGAGGATGTATGTGTAGCTCCTGAGTTCATCCAAAATCAAATCATCCCTTTCTTTACTCATGGACGTCATAGAAACATTTCAAGCATATATGTAACACAACGTTACCATCATACACCAATAATTATCCGTGAAAATATTTCACATCTAGTAGTCTTTAATGGTGGCAGTTCCTATCAAGATATTTCCAAGATCATTGGATGATATACTGAAGATGTGAAAAATACCTCTATGGTTGTTAATAGTTATCTTCGAAAAGGTGAATTTATTGTCTTTGATCTAAATAAATCAGATGATGATCCACTGGCAGTTCGGTTGAGATTTGATACTCCATTAGACCTTCAAAAAGAGGTAAAGTTACGAGAGAAGCGAAAAAAAGGATAATAAAGATTCATTACTCCTGAAATTAAAGTTTTGATTTTTTTGATGAAGAATCACCTATTTGCAATGAGAAAGTTGA